CCAAAAGTAGCAGTTTTCAAGGTTCTTAATATTAAAAAATTACATACGTACAAAATATGATCAGTCTCGTAAAGTTCCATTATTTTAATTGTAACAAAAAATAATGAAATACATTCTTATTCAGAACAACAGTCAGATAAACGTAATATTGCATGGAATCTATATCTAAGCAATAATAAATTGTTTATCACAAAAGTAAAATGCAAGAACGAATATTTCTTAAAATATCCCGTGAAATAAAATCAATAAAATTAAATAAAACGTTTGATTAATATTATATATATATAAACTTAAACATACATATATAAACTTGAACCAACAAAATATAATAAAAATTACAATCTTATTTTTTTAAATCAGCAATTGATTTATCTATCTCTGCCGTTATCTTTGATACTTCAGTTAGGTATTTGACTTTTTTGGTCTCTAATTATTTTATTTCTAGTAAAGCTTTACGTTTTCTTAATGTCTCTATGTTCAACTGTTTCTCCGCCTCACGCTGTTTTGCCATAAACTCTTTATAATGCGAATGCGCATTGCGCATAGAGTGTAAAAGTTTTTTATCAATTTTTATACTTTCAATATCTCCTACATTTTTAACAGTATCATAGATACGTCGTTGAGCAATGAGACTTTTGTCAAGTTGATTTTCAACAAGGCACTCAGCATTTACGGAGAAACCGCGTTCAACGGTGGCATTTCCATGAGATAAAATCAAAATTAATTTAGCAAAATCTACAAAATTATTACACGGTTTCGTCGATAATTTTACTGCATCCATCCACATTTTATCTAGACGGTTTTTAGTTCTATCAAAAGATTTTAAAATTTCCTGAACTAGAGGCTCGCCGCAAAGATTTACATATTCTTGTTTTACACGATCTGCTTTGACGCCAGACATTCTTCGGCTCGAAACAAAAATTTCAAGACACGATATTAATCTTTTAAGGGCTATTTTCGAATTTAAAGCTACTATAGGGTCCAAGCATGTAATGGCTTGTGTAAACTTATACTTTAAGGATGAACGTTCACGAAGTTTTACAATAATCTCGATAATACAATTACGCATATCGTCTTTCAGTTGGAGAATTTGTAACTCTGAAATATTCTTCACTTTCTTCAGCGCATCTTTCGTCGCGAAGTCCATTTCGAATTGTTTTGCGGATATCAGATTATTCTTATCTAATAAATCTATTTTATTAAGGTAAGAGGTACTGTTTAGTATTTCATTTTTTACCACCCGCAGCATCAAAGAGTATATAAGAGTATGTAACTCGTTGTACAAAAATGGTGCCATAGGTACATCTGCCTGAAATTCACGCAAAAATGGTTCAAACAAAGATGCTGTTGCGCTGAAAAAAGTAAGCTTCGGACTGATAAGTTCATCGCTTAAAGCATCGGAAACAATCTTGAAACTTTGCGAATTTGGAGCAGTTTTTTCTTTTTTTGATTTGGTGACGTACATTATTAGATGAGGAACAATTTCAATAGCTCTCTCGGCTACTGCAACGTTCTCTACTCATCTAATGGCACAGAATTTTTTTGGAAAGATGTTGAACTTTGTATATTCGGTATATTGAGCTCTTCGTGTTGGTGAATCTTTGAATGGATAATATAGAGCTCTCAAGAAGGACACAATTTCCCACTTGGATTTTTTCATCCCAGTTTTGAACGCACCGTGAATAACATGTAGTCCGCAGCTCCCAATATTCAAGAGCGTCATACCGTCGAAGGATTCTGTAAGTTCCTTATTTAAATCATTTAAAACTTTCAAATTTACATTTGGCCCATCCATGGATAATTGTAAAATTTTACAGAGATTCTGCGATCCAAAAGACTCACTTAAAGCTTCATACAAATCAATAGCACGCGTGCGCTGAAGAAAAACAGAATCAAAATATCGCGTTGTCACGATTGAGTCGTTTGGGTGCCAGAATCTTACGTAAATGTTCATTTGGGCCTTCTGAGAAATAGTATTCAGACTTTCATCAAATTCAAGCA